TCAGACTCCGTGGTGCAAGACTAAAACAAACATAGATAAAGAATCTGATTTTGATATATAGATTTAGATCAATTTGAAGCACAGCGGCTTCGATGAAGGGGGACCAAAGCTGGATAAGACAGAGCAATAGTTGGAAAGCATGAAGAATCACTGTTCTGAGTCCTTTCTGTATTGATTCTTTGTTCTCTCCTGACGCAGCTTTGGCCACCTTCATTATTTGAATATAGGAGAAAGCAATGATGATACACATGATTAAGAAATAAAACTGACCTATTGCAGATCTAAAATGACCCTGCCATCTTTGCAAAATGAAAACCTCCACAGAACAGATTCCATATTTTTCAAAGAAGCCTATGGTGGCTATAGAAAAGAAGGTTATAAGAATCAGAATGCTGGGTAAAAAGCTAAGGCTGTGTATGATGAGGATACCTTGCAGGGCTCTCTGTCTGGTGCACAGCTCTACATGATACAGTGGCATACAAATAGCCACATAGCGCTCCAGACTCATCGCTGTCAAAGTCAGGGGAGTAACATAATTATACAAAGATGACACAATGAAAAAGATAAGGCATGACCCCATGGGTATAGGAAAAGCAAAAGCGTAAAACAGCACCAACACATCTGTGATAATTAAATTTATGCAATCAGAAAATAATGCAGTGGCAAATAAAATGTAGCGCATGTTTGTGAAAAAGGCTTCTTTCGTAAAAAACGTTATGATCAGCAAAAAGTTAATGCAAAGAAGAACTGCTACAAAAACCTGTACAAAAATCCCTTGATCACCCATCACTCGCCGTAAAGGTTTACTACCATCCAGAGAGCTGTTGTTAGACATCAAGACTGTATAGGATACAGAAAAACCTCAAAAAGTTATCAGGCCACTCTAAAAATATCCCCAATACTTTGTTAGTTACAAGAAGAAATTTTTCACAACCTTAAGATACAGACATTATTTTGATTAGCACAACTAACATATTTAAGATAATCTACATAAGCATTAAATCAAAGAAACAAGATCACTCTCATTTCAACTCTCCAAGCTCTAATGTGGCAACATGACTCATTGAAGGCACAAAATGTTCTCTGTTGAGCCGTCTCTGTACAGTAAACTTAAGGATGCACAGAGCACACGTGGACACAATGTTATCATTATGACACACCTCTTGACTGCATAATTATTACAGTTAGTGGAGAAGTGTAAGACCCTTTTACTGACAAACTATTTTATTATTTCACCTGCTTTGTACTGAGCATACAAAACATTATTAGAGGTAATGCACGAAACAAACTGGGAAAATAGGTGCATCAGAACTCATTGTAGAAAGAAAATGTTATTTAAGCCACCTCTCTACAGTAAAGTTAAGGATGCACACCTCAACACAATGGTGTCATTATGACACAACTCTGTGCGCAAAACTCTTTTGCTGTAAAACTTTGTTTTATGTCACCTGCTTTGTACTGAGCACCAAAAACATTTTTATAGTTAATGATTCAAAAATAAATATTATTAGGGCGACAGTGACATTGGGTGTAGGAGTTTGCCCTGCAATCGAAGGGTTGTCGGTTCAAGCTCCGGCTTTGGCTTTCATGTCTTTGTGTCCTTTGGCAAGACACTTCACCTGCATAGATGTGATACAGAGCCACCAGCAGCCTCACTGTCAGTGTGCCCCAGGGCGGCTGTGGCTATTATTATGGTTTGCCACCATTAGTCTGTCTATGAATGACTGAATATAGTATAAAGCTCTATATAAGTACAGGCAATTATACTGGAACAAATAGGGGTATTACACTGGAAAGTCAAATCCATTGATTTCATTTTGTTTATGTCACAACACATCCCATCTCTAGGCACTGTAGAGAGACAATTTAATCAAATCATACAGACAGATTGGTTAAAAGCTTTCTCTTTGAGGAAACCCTGCTGATTTTACCGAGCTGTCATTAGCAGCAGAATTGTCATTTAGCAGAATTGTCCCTTTCTGGATGAGCATGGTGCAACAGGAGACATTCACTTGCTTTGTGCTGTTGACTCTACAGCAATTCTGCACACTGAGAATACATGCAGTGACAGTGGAGAGAAAAAAAAACTCCCTTTAAACTCTGGCTGAAGCCTTTTGGATCAAATGACACCTTTTAATTGCATTTTGTGGACTTGGTGATTGCAAAATTTACAATGTCTAGTCTTAAAGTAACAAAGGCAAAGTCTCTCGCCATGTACTCTGAAAAGAAAAAACAGCTCAAACTTGAACTGCTTTAATTAGTAAAAAAAAAAAAAAAAACTGTTTTCAACCCTAAAACTTAAAAAATCAAGTTGGATCAACTTGAGTCAATTGCTTGTTACCAATTGAAGCAATTAATTTAAGTTGGAGCAGCATTCTCTATTTAGAGTATAAACCTAGAATAAGAAAAATCCCATTTTTGTAACATTCCAGAAATCAAAGAAGGGAAGTTTAGAATTGATATGGGATTTAAGTCCTGTTCGGAAATATGTTTTTTTTAATGTTATTATCAGAGGCCAATTTAATGTCATACAGATAAAGTGACTGACTAATCAGCTTATATTTTAAGGACTCTAGTCCAAAGAGAATAACTTCTGTCCTGTTTGAATAAAAAACAAAACAAAAAAAAACAGAAATGTCATCCAGGTTTTTTTTTCCTCGAGACATGCCTGTAATCTAAAAAAACAAGCCAGTTTCATCCTTGGTGTATCTTCAGAGTATTTTCAGCATAACAATGAAAATGACCCAGTGCTGTTGGATAATTCAACCAAATGGAGGCCTTTATAAAATAAACTGTGAAGGTCCTAGCACTAATCCATGAGGTACTCCGCAAGTAACTTTGAAATTGAGAAATATTCATCATTAACATTAAATATTTATCATTAACATGAGCAAATTGAAATTGAAAAAACAAATAAGATTTAAGCCAGCATAGTGTTTTCCCTTAACTCCTACAGTATGTTGGAATCTTTCTAAACAATATTTTGATCGACTGTATCAAATGCAGTGCAGAGATTTGAAATGACAAATACAGACACATGTAATTGTTTTTACTTTTTGTTCACTTGGACTCATAATGACTTTAATGAGATTATCCCGACTTTTTTTCAATATTTTTTATACTGTCTGAATGGAGTAATTTGTATGTTACTGCACAGAAACTGCAGAGAGGTGGTTTAATCTATGCTTCCTGGTGTTGAACCTGGGCTGTTAAAGTTTTGGAAGACTAAATTTGTCCACATTACTAGGGGATGAGCTGTTCCATCCAAAATGGGATGGATGCTGTCTCTGGGAATCAGATCAGGTTTTCCCTCAAAAGTTTGGCAACTATCAACGTATCCTTCATCATTTTCAGGGCACCACAGAGACAACCAGTACCTGAATGACGACATGCAGCTAAACATGTAGTCATTTTTAGCCGTATCAGTGATTGAGGCAAAGAAAAATGATGGAGTTCGACAGTGGTGGAGCCAGAAAATGCTCATAGGGGTGGCTAGACAGTGGCCAATGTACATCGAAGGGTGGCCAAAAACTGATCAGCACTAAAACAAGTTAAGGGTGAGTCTAATCACACTGTACCAACAGGAAAGTGAATGAGCAAAACATCCATCTTTAACAAATAAATCAATCACACAGGCTAGATTTTTACAAAGCCTTCACTACCTAATTCTACATAAATATTTATCCATGTATATTGTCTAAATTGGTTGAAATATACACAATGAATGGATTGAGCAGGAGTTCTTTATTGCTCATTTTAAAGAAGACTTCTTGATAACTGCAGAGGAACAAAACATCCCCTCATTTCTGTAAATCATAAAAAATAGTACTAGAAAAGAGGGTGAATTCTGTTTATGGTATATTTAACTTTAGTAATTTTATGTCAACAGTTAAATTATTACTCTCATTTTGTTTTCAGTTTGTTTTTAATAAACTAACAACTGAAAAATCAAGCTGGTTAGAACATTTCACCTGAGATCATCACTTCTGCCGCGCTCTGTTTTAGAGGTGAACGGCTTTTTCTGTAGGTCGTAGAAGTATGTGGGAAGACAGTGTTGTAAGAGGCAGGAGTTTGACCTGCTCCAGCTTTCGATGTCGTTGGGAAAGACCATTCACCCGCATTACCTACTCATGGTGGTCAGAGGGCCTGGTAGCTCCTGTGTACAACAGCCTTGCTTCTGTCAGTTATCCCAACCCTGACTGAAGGATCATAGCTGTTGCTAAAATGGGGCTTGCCATCATGAGTGTGTGCATGAAAGGGTGAATGACTGAACGTAGTTTTTGATCAAGTCTGCTGAATTGAAAAAGTGCTATATAAGTAATAATAATAATAATACATTTTATTTGTAATGCACTTTACATTTAAAAAAAATCTTAAATTGCTACAGGTAAAATCATCATAGAAGGGTAAAATCAAAATGTAAAACCAAACATCGCTTTAAAACACTTATGAATAAAATCAATAGCATAATTATAACATGTTAAAAGTCATACGTCCTGCTAAAAAGAAATGTACAGACCATTGCCATTTATGCTTCAAGGGGAACTGCAAACAAACTGTGGTAGGGGTGGCCAATGATCGACTATAGTTAGCCATGGTCACCACTGGCCCCCTTCTTGCTCCGTTCTTGGAATCCAAAATTGTTTTGTCAAATTTGCACACATTTATGTTATTAGATCATAAATATTATTAGCCCTAAAAAACTGAACATCCCTATCGAACATCCCTATCGATTTTTAATAGATAAGAATTTGATTTGTCAAATTGTGCCATTATAATAAACAGTGAAGCTTTTATAAAATAAAGTCAGAAAAATGACTTTAAAAAAATGTGTGTGTGTGTGTGTGTGTGTGTGTGTGTGTGTGTGTGTGTGTGTGTGTGTGTGTGTATGTGTGTGTGTGTGTGTGTGTGTGTGTGTGTGTGTGTGTGGGGTTCTGAACAAAAGAAATCAGCCAAAATACACATAATACTTTATTGTCCCACAGTGGGGAAATTCAGGTTTTTAATTAGCAAATGAAGGTACATTACAACAGAAGAAAAAAAATTGTACTTGAAACAATGCAAATAAGAGCCTACTCACTTAACTGAAGCTTCAGTTATCACACCATAATTTCCAGACATTATCAGATTTATATCCACAGCACCAAAAAACTAAACATATGTACATTATGTTATTTAAGCAATTACAACTTTTTTTTCCAAAAATTGCTGGATGTATTTAAACTGTTATGCATGGAACTTTAAAAAGTGTCACCTCAGAAGATTTAATTTTTTTCTTTTTCCTCTTTCTTTCCTTAACTTTTTCTTCGCTTTCAACTCTTTGACACATAATTGCATATATGGTTTATGTACAACCACCAGATGTTAAAAAAGGTTAAGATAACATTGTTTAAATGACAACATTTTGGGGTTGAGACTCGTTCTCCTGTCCACACAGGAGAACCAAGCATTTCTATGATTTATTGATTATTAGCATAAGCTTCCTTATTAACATTGGGTCCTAAAGCAACACAGATAACACACCTGCTGGAAACATTTTCATCTCACACATCTTATTGTTTCTACATTTTTTTTTCATTTCTTATCATTTTCAAACATAATTACTCAGATAATTGTGCAAATACGATATTTATCTTTTCTATTATATTACTAGTAGTGCTCACCAATTAGACATTAGGAAAAATGAAACAAGGTAGTTTTTTGTCACTGATATAAGAAAAACTAATGACCTGCATTTAAAAAATGTAAGCAGCTGACATCTCTTACTCTGAACTATAAAGGTATTAAGCTCACATTACGACAAACATCACAAAGTAAAAAAAATAGCTATTATGCTTTTTCTAACCATGTTCACTATTTCTTCCTTTTTAGAGTATCAGTTCTGAGTACATTGGTTAAAGTATGTTCAAATGATATAGTAAAACTTAAAAAAATACAGTACATCTGTAGGCATACAAAGGCTTGATGTTTCTACAGGTCAATAATAATGTTTCAGTGTCAATGCTTAAGAACTAGAGTTTCAAATTGTTCTTGAATGGGCAACCAAACACCCTGTGTTTCAGTGCATGTAGAAAGGCCTCGTCCCTGAGTCCATAGATCAGAGGACTTAAACATCGCGGAGCAAGATTAAAAAATATATAGTTAAGGTATCTAATGTTTACAAACAGGCTCAAATTAATCTGAATTATGGCAGCTTCAATGAAGGGGGTCCACAACTGCATAAGACAGAGCAAGAGCTGAAAAGCATGTAGAATTACTGTTCTGAGTCCTTTGCGCACCGACACTTTATTCTCTCCCGATGCAGCTTTGGCAACTTTCATTATCTGAATATATGAAAAGGCAATGAGGATGCACATGATCAGGAAGTAAAACTGACTAATTGCAGACCTAACTTCACTCTGCCATCTGTACAAAATAAACATTTCTACAGAGCAGACAACAAAATGTTTTAACAGGCTTAAACTGACTGAAGAGAAAAACAATAAAAGGATTACAATAAAGGGTATAATGCTGAGACAGTTAATCAGGAGAATGCCCTGCAGGGCTCTGCTTGAGGTAATGAGCTCTGCATGAGACAGTGGTTTGCAAATAGCCACGTAGCGCTCCAGGCTCATTGCTGTCAGAGTCAATGGAGTGACAAAATTACACAACGATGATACAATGAAGAGGATAATGCAGAACCATAATGGTATAGGAACAGCAAAATAGCTTAAGTTCAGCAAAATATTTGTGATTACTAAATTAGTGCAATCACAAAAAAGTGTGTTGGCAAATAAAATGTAGCGCATGTTTGTGTAGAAGATTTCCTTCATAAAAAAAGTTGTAATTAACACAAAGTTAATGCATAGAAAAATTACCACCAAAATTTGTACAATTATCACCTTATCATTAATCTTGCGGATGAAGGATTTACCATCAACAGAGCTGTTGTTAGTCATGTCAATCTTAAATGCGAGGAAGCTTTGCAGAGAGCAAGACTTCACCTAACTCATAGATCAAGTATTTCTTAACTTGCCCTGATCAGAACACAGTTAACACATCTGCAGGTTTGGAACGCCCCTTACTCTAATGAGGCATCATCATTCATAGGGTGTGTTTGATTCAGAGGCTGCATCCTCCAAGGATCCAGTCTGTTTGGACTGGGTCCTTCAAGGTCCAGGAAAATAAAGAGGCCAGAAGAGTTTTAGGTATGGATTTAAACTTGTCCAGCCTTCTCTGGCTTTCACTGCCCATAAGCACTGTCGCCTAGCAGACATAAAATTTGAAACACAAAGCAGGCAAAAAATGGATGCAGAACTTATCACTGCAGTTCTGGTTGATAATAACATTTACAAGGAGCTTCAGTAGCAGTACTCTTGTCACGATTATCATATTCATAGTCCCCTCACGACAGAGATACTGGAATCTGTGCTTAGATGTCAGCCAAGCCCAATCGTACAGATAAAACCTTTCAATGAACCAAACGTTATCCACCACATATCTGACTCCATAACCAACCCTGTTCTCGCTATCTGTTCCCTTGCTAGGATGGACACATGTTATCTGCTATCTGTGACTTCATCCCTAATGCTCTCATGAAGATTGTGGAGGAAGATTGTGGTTTTCCTCCCAACCAGGAGCATTTCGCCCCTGAAAATAGGCAGCTTGTAATGACGGTAATATTCTTTTGGCTGTTAATTATTTTTCTGCTAGATGCCAGATTCCCGAACATCACATAAGCTGGGTCAGTGGTGCACCTAGTATTCCTCTATCAAAGCCTGGCAAAGAGAAAAATAGCAGTCTCAAATGGAAGGCTGAAGGCTCTCCATGAACACACGAACACTTCTTGAAGTGGTTTTCCAGATTCTACTTGTGACTTACCTATAGAGGGATTAGGCAAGTCTATGAGACAGCGTTCTACCTCTCTAAGGTAGTCATCAATGGTGGATTCAGTGTTACTGGGGTCAAAACGCTTAATGTCTTGGGCAAGGGATTCAAGTTGCCATATTCGTAGTCCCAGTTCTAGGGTTGGAGTCGGGCCATCCAAATTCTCGTTTGACAAGTGTAGCCAGCAGCTATCCCAGTAGGATGGAAACTTCTGCTCTGACCTCCTAGAAGGCCTCTGAAACCATTCATGGTACACTTCTGGATCTGTTGCTCTATAGCCTCTAGGCCAGGGGTCACCAACGCGGTGCCCGTGGGCACCAAGGTGCCCTCAAGGACCCCATGGGGGGCCCTCAGAGTCTTCTAAATAAAGAACAACCCACCAGTGGGCTAAGTTTGAAATTTTATTTTATTCTGTTGCTGTTCTTTTTAATCATTTATAGAGATTTCAAAATGACAATGTCTAAATAAACTTAGAAATTAACAGAAACAATAAAAATATGTTGATAATGAACAAAGTTTAGGCTAACGCTAACCCTTGCATCTCATGGGTCAGTAATGGTTGCCCTTCCTACGTCTCGGTACCCTTGAAGTGGCCCTCACCCTAAAAAGGTTGGTGACCCCTGCTCTAGGCTATGGCTGCGGCTCAGTGTGATGACTCTGACCAGAGTCCCATAGTTGGCTGTCCTGCTACCGTCGTAACAAGGGTGTTTCATAGCAGATGGTACTTCGAATTAGGTCAGGCCCCAGTGCTGCTCTTTAACCTAAATTATGAATGCCACTCAGGTCCTTCATCCTCTCAATTCTGAAGCTGTTCTGTTTAGTGGAACTAGGCATTGTACTACCAAACCTTCCCTGCGCCTTCACACCAACACTCAGCTGTGGTCGCCTGAGGAGGAGCTCCCTTGGCACCCTGTCTATCAAACCTCTCTAAAGCAGGAATAGATTCACCAACTTCTTCCCCCGACCCTTCGTTCTGTGAGCAGGGAGCCACCCCACTTTGCAGAGATTTAATTAGCTGGCAATCAATATTCACTCAAACCATTAAACTCAGCTGTAACATCACAAACACTCCTGGTTTATCTTCAGCAGGAGCAGCATCCTTAGCGATTTCAAGTCAAGGCAGTTTAAATGTCTTAAATGGATTAGTCATACAGCGAACGTTTCGGTCATCTCAAGATATTAATTAACTACAGTTTCCAACTGTAGTTAATATAATCATAGTCTACTGGTAAAATATCACAACACCATCTAAGTTAAGACGTGCATGTAGAACTCACTTAAACACCATATCTCTGGGCTTCCTAGTCATTATGCAAAGGCAATCCACATGGCAATTTAGAAAAATATCTAGAGAAATTGCTAACTTCTTGTTTCATTTGCATTCTGTAAATGTAATGTAATGTAATTTCTTGGTTGCCATGATGTGGATGACTAAAAATTTGCCCAGGGATCAGTAGGCCTTTTTGTGGGGAGCATTAAAAAGAAGCATTTTTTAAGCACAATGTAATGATATGTTACATTAATTGTTTTGTTTTTCTTATCACTTATTGGAACTTGGTAAGAGAGGAGTGCAACAGTGGTACAAGCTGTTGCACTGTTACCTTGCAGAAAGAGATTATGCGTTTGATTCCCAGCCAAGGGTGTCAAAATCTCAAAACCTTGGATCCAATATTCAAAACAGACAGATCTGAATAAGTTCAAAAAGTCTTTATGTCACTAACAGTGTGCGGCTGCTCGTCAGCTGGAATGGATAAACTGGATCCTCTGTAGGAACAGAAACTCAGGTCAGTGACTAAGAATAAAGGGCTGACACCTACTAAAGCAATAGTCATGACCTTGGTTCTAAGTTCAGTCTGATCCCAGAGGAAGGAGATGAATCCAAGAGGGAGAATGTCCTCTGCTAGAGGCGGCCCCTGCCCCCTGAATTCTGGGTGATGAGCAGAGCTGATGTCAACCAACGCCGAGGAGCAACAGTGTCCAGATCTGTTGAGTAGGACAAGATGTTGTTATCCCAATAGATGCCTAAGGCACCGATGAGACCCTGTGATCATCAAGTGGGTGATGGCATGCCTTGGGTTCTCAAGTGGGCACCCTCCTTCTTGGGTGTTTCACTGATAGGCCCACAACTCCTCCAGAGGGTTCAGCAGTGAATCCCAGAATCCCAGGTTCACTCCCACCAACCATCACCCCTTTGAGCCCCAGGCCAGGTCCTTCCTCCTGGTCCACAGCCACTGGCTGCCCTTTTCAGCGGCCTTAGAGAGGTCCTTGATTCCCTACCTGTGGACTTTTCCCTCGCACCCCCATCTCCCTCAGTAGCCTAGATGTTGAGGTCTCTATGAATCCCCTGCAGCCTACTTCCACCAGGCGTAACTTCACGTTCCATCCTTGTTGTCGGGCAACTGCTGCTAGACTGGTGTATCTCAGCTTCTTCCGCTCAAAGGCTTCCTATACGGCACCCTCCCAGGGTACCATGAGCTCAATGATGTACACCAGCTTGAGGGAGGGACATCACAGAATGAGGTCTGGACGCAGGTTGGTGGATGAAATTTCTTGTGGAAAGCACAAGTTTTTGTTCAGGCTCTCCGCATTTTCCATTCCTGTGCTCTGCCCAGCTGCCCGATGTCAGCAATACTGGTGATGGTGAAGCTGGCTTGACCGTCTCAAACAAGTGTGCAAAATTGCATTTGCACTCATCCTCTGGCATTCCAGCACAGCTGAAAGACTGCTGAACACCTGGTTGTGTCGCCAGGTATAGCGACCTTGGGTAAGGCTGGTCTTGCATCCCACTAAGATGTGCTTCAGTGTTGCTGGTCTTGGGCACAAGGAGCATGTGAGGTCATCGCCATACCATTGGCTTAGGTTTTCAGGTGTCGGAAAAACATCATAAGCAGCTCTGATGGTAAAGCTTACCCTGAATGCCTCCATTTCCCATAGATCTCTCTAGGAGAGCTCCAGGAGAGAGTAGGGAATATCCAAAGCCAAAGTCATAGAAGAACCAAGTTCTTGGACCAGAAGATCAGAGAGCCAATGAAGTACTGATGGGGAATCCAAGCAGAGGTCAGAAGAACAGTCCAGGTTCGGTAAGCCAGTAGAATCCAAGAATAAGCCCAGAACAGAGCAGATCAACAGAGTAGACAGGGGTAAAGCAAAACTCAGGATCCACAGGGCAGAAACAGGTCAGAATCAGACAATCAGAAGAAAGATCAGAACGCAAGAGTTACTCACACTGAACAGCTTGAATAATCTGGCACCGGTAGCTGGAAAGCAAGCAGCATAAATAGGAGCTGGAAACAGGTGGAACAGATTACCAGTAATGAGAAACCGGGCAGAGTTAAACAGGTGAATGAAATGAGCAATCAGCCACCAGTGCCAGGATCATGGCACAGGGTCTTTCTGCATGGAGTTCGTATGTTCTCCCCATGCACCAAACCAATAAAAATAATATCAAATGTCTCCATATAATCACCCTTATAACTTGAATAGTTCAGCAATGGAGAAAGCAGATCAAATTGAAGAACTACTGACAATTACAGTTGGTCTATTTTGAAATTTATTATAATATGAACACTATCCTGTTACCAGCTATTATTCTTTTTAATATAAATAACTAGGTCCACTAACCTACCAAAAACGGAAAAGAAAGCAAGAGGAAAATCAGGAAAACTGATGGAAATAAATTTCCCATTTCAACAAACACAAAGGTGTGCAACACTTGTGGTTTGCCAGATGAGGGGAAATATATCGTCCACGTACTACATAGGTATTGAGGGATCTAGGGCATAGGGCGGATGTTCGGAAACGGCCACAGACATGACAATGTGGAAGTCAGCCTGCCTGTGAAGCCCATACATACCTTTTTTTTTTTATGCATTACATACCATGGATAGTTGTTTCAGACTTTATTTATGCTGTATGTGATGGAACAAAACTTAAATCTTTGTTTGTACCACAAGCTCGTCCAATGTACTCATCCCTGTATGCTGTTTTCAGTCACTGAATAAAAAGTAACAACATGCCATAAGATGGCATGATTTCGTCACTTTTGACCGGTGAACCCTCGTACCCTGTTCAATGAAGCAAGTATAAACCAA